GAAGCTTTGTATGGCTTTAATAATAATTGTGGATGGTGTCCTCATTGCCCATCAACAAACCACACGCCCCACGCTTAAGTACGTTAAGATGGTGGTCCAAGACATCCATGCCTTCTGCTCACACCCCTGGGGTAGAGAGTCTTTTCTAAAGACTATAACTTGCATGAAACCTCCGAAGTTCGACTCTAAGAAGTGTCCTGATCCCCTTGGGACAGTGGTTGACCAGCTAAAGCAGGAAACATTCAGACTAAAGGGATTTCCCCTGTCACTACAACTTCTGGCTTTCCAAGCCATTCCAAGACTGCTGTCCACAATCCCTTATCCATTTTACGTAGGGACCATTATGGATCTGGATGAAGATCATCTTCCTATTTACCCATCCATTAGCTACCTCGATATATTACGTGTTGAAGCTGAACCTAATGTAAGTTGCATTCTACTCCATCATCGTTTCTCTTTCCGTTAGTAATTGTGGTTTCCTGATTTTGCAATCTGTTTGAATTCAGCTTGCAGTGACATCGTGCATACCTGTACAAAGTCAACCACATCCTGGATGGGGAGTTTGGCCTGATTTGTGTCACGATGACAAAGTCTCATACATGGAAGACTTGATAACAACCCATCAACCCTTTGGCAAGTATCTATGGCATGGTGGTGACACTTCTTGTCCTGTCCTCACCGCAAATGCAGAGGAGGAACCTGTTGTGAAGATGAGAACTTCAAAGTCAAAATCAACTTCTAAGAAGCTCTCCAGCAAAACTCCTTCTTATCCCAAGAAAGAACTCAGACCAAGGAAGACATCGAACAAACCCTCCACGTCCCGTAAGCAGAAACGCATCAGCTCCTACTTTCAAGCAGCCGCCTCATCCAGCAATTCAAATGACAAACTAATGGAAGTGCTATCTGAATTATCTGACACGGTTTCCAACCTTCAAAAAGAGACCAAACTGTTGCGTCTACTGCTCAAACGACCGAAGACGCCTACCTACCGTAAGCGCATTGCCTTCCACTCTCTCTTAGCTCGGACCAAGAAAGTACACCAATCACACCGCGGGTGTCAGACTGAACCTTCAGACATGGCCTTTGCTCAATCTCCCACACGGACTGTAAGTTTCACCAATATACTTTTAAGTTTCTTCTCCATGTTAACTTCAATTTTCTTTTAACTATTACATAATATGTATTCCTTTGTAGTTTCCAATGCCCATGGAGGAAGATACCACTCTTAGGAGGTCCCCTGTTGTCAGCCAATATGCTGCACAACATTATGTCTCACCGAAAGCAACGAAGACCACAGCTTCAAACACTACAAACCTCCAACCAGAACCCCTCTCTCATTCTCCTGACCACCCTTCACCCCTCCTAACTCCTATTACTAGTTCCCCTGTCCACACCACTCCAGAACAGCAGAACCCACCCATCAACGATTCTC